TCTACTAACATGAGCGTTTCGCAACTTAGGCCGCCGTCAAGGTGCGTGTGCACCGGTTTGTTTGCCTCGAAAAACAAACAATTAGATTGCGATCTGGTCTTTAAGTAAAAACACACTTCCACCAAATATGCGCCTGGCCCACAGTGTTTGCATCCTTCAGTTATAGCATCACTCACCCTTTCACCTCTATCTCTCCTCTGCTTCCTTAAGAGGGACTGGAGTTGGATTACCGTTCTAATAAAAAACAGGTGCTTTCATAAGCATAAGTTGCACGCACATGGGGAGTAAATGCAGAGATGCTACAGTCATGAGAGTGTGTATGGAGCAGCTGTGGATGAGGCTCTGACTCACACAAAGGTTTATACCGACACCTTGTGGTTACTTCACGAACTGCACATCTCCAGCCCTTCAAATTTGATTTCTCAGTTTTTTTCCCCAAATGGGATCTAGAATTAGGGGACTCAACAGATTATGATTGGTCAGATCGCCTGTCAATCAAACTATGAAATTATGAAATAAACGCTTTTCTCCTAAAACACTGGCTCCCTGTTATTAAATACATTTTGCAACTTCCTTCAGATCCTTCAGATTCACAAGTTCATGTTGGTGCTTCTTCTCTTCAGTTCAACCCACTAATTTTCTATAGGGTTCGGGTCAGGGTTCTGGAAAGGTCATGGCAGAAGCTACATTTTGTGCTCAGATTCAATATAGCCTATATAATGGAGCAGCCTAACTATAACTTTCAAATGAAATGAAACGTAACAGTTTAAAAACAGTTAAAAGGGTGATTAAATAACACAACACAGCATATGAAGACCTAGATCACTACGTTTTAAGCTGAAATTTTAATGTTAAATTAAAGACAGTTTATCTGCGTATTCTTTATCAAAAAGAGTGGTTTGTGCTTGTATTCTGTTGTGTTTCCTCAATCGCGACTCGCACCCGAGCTTATTTACCATGTAGGCGAGGCTACCTGTCACCTGGCAACACTTCTGTTTTTAACACACGGAATTTAACTTAATGCTAGTATGCCAAAAGAAAGAATCTAAATCAATCTCGCACTGTGACAAACTAAATATTTCTAGAAAAAATAATAACGTTTACGCAAATATTTCTGCTGCATTAAAAGTGGGAGATTCTCTTCTGAATATGGCGTGAGGACACCACTCTCCCATGCGCGCATGTCTGTCGTCACGTTTCGGTAGTCATTTCTGACTTTTCACAAACTTTTTATTTTTAATTTTTTGATACAATTCATAGATAACAAATAGCACCAATAGATAAAACAAAAACAGGAACAACCACCAGAGGAGAAAAGAAAAAATAAACAAAATAGACACAAAAACCCCCCCCAAAAAATAAAAGACAAAAAGTACAATAATAATACAAGAAAAGATAACCACATAAATAAAGAAATAAAATACAATACCATAACAGAGGAATTGCTTGTTAAGATAAGAATAAGAGACTACATTTAAAGGGGGATTTTTACCCTGGAGAACCCACGGGGTCAAATTTGACCCCTGTTAATTGCTGCTACCCAAAATAATAATAATAATAAAAAAAAAAATTATTTAACTTCAAAAGCCCAGAGTGCCACTTCTGGCCACTGCATAGAGACACCTAGTGGATGAATATTGAACTCACAAGTGTCAGAGTGGTAGTAACAAGATGGCTGACCACATGCTGTTTTGTTGAGCTGTAAACCTATCCAAACAAAATCGTCTTCTAAGCAAACCAGCGATTGGTAAAATTGTATATTTTTTGTTAATCTATTTAGTATTAGCTTGCAGAATGCCTAGAAGTACGTTTTATATTGTTTTTGGATAAATTAGTGACTCTGAGCTAGTTCAAAAAACAATGGGTCAAAAATGACCCTCTGGGTGGGTTAAACAAATGTCGGGTCAAAAATGACCCTTTGGTTCTTTGAGTGACTTTCATAGAGAATGGTGACAGTCCTGTATTTGGCTAAAGTCTTGAAATAATTTAATTTGTATAATATATTTTACTAAGTTACCTCACTAGTACAGGGCCAGAGACTAAGTAGTATATCTTTTCAGGGAGTATGGGCACTCCAGCACTGTGAAAAAATGTGCAGTTCCTCTCTGCATCAACAAAAAAAAAAAAAATTGTTTCAAAAACTACCACAATGTCTAGTGAGTTCCTCTCTCTAGCAGAACAGATTTTTGGATAAGCAAAGACCCATTCTGTTAGTTTTTTCAGGTAGTGATTTTGGCTTGTGTTCTTGTTTCCATTGGGCAAAGTGTTTGTACATTTGAAATCCAGTTCTAACATGCAACAAATAAAGCAACAGAAAAAAAAAAAATTGTTAAATGTAGCTGTGTGGTTGACTGCAAACTATTTTAAATTTAGGAAAATAATCATTGACAGAATTTGTTATTGTGATTTTTTTTTTAAATAATACGCCTAAAGCCCAATGGGTCAAATTTGGCTCTAATCCTAAATTAGGGAATAAAGGGTTAAAATTGAAAAAGTGGATATTTTGCTGTTCAGTGAACTTATAGCAGTAATTTAATGCATTGTTCATAATTTTCCAAAGAAGGGTTAAAGAGAACACAATAAGATAATGTTTTCTTTGCTTTAGCATTCTTTTATACGGAAAGCGTTTGAAGGTTTTGGTGAAATTCGTTGAGAAAAACGTTGAATAATGGCTTATGATTAGAAAAATAAATTCTCCGTAATAATAAAAGCAAACATAACGTATTTCCAAAATAATTTAAAAAGAGGGTACACAAAATCAATAATATACCCGCAAAAGCTATTCCAAAAATTTTTGGTCCAGCAACAAATGTACAGAAATCACATTCTATGTCAATGTCAGGTTTAAACTTCCTTTAGATCAGGTTTAGATCCTCTATATCTGATCTGTTAGTTGACATACTTGGTTTAAAATTACCATAATTACATAAGATTTGGTAACAATATCTCTTTGAAAGCACAGATGGACCTAAGTCTTGCCAACCATTGTTTGAACGGGATTAAAAAGAGGTAAAGCAAACCAAGTCCTATCAAGACCGTTAAACAATGTAATAACACCTGTGGGTGATAGCATTGAAAACAATGGCAAATTCTTTAGGTGTGACAGGTGTGGCAGACAGTATACAGTTGATCTTGTCGGTTAATATTTGAAAAAGCTTTGTGAATGTTTCTCAAAGTACTAATCAGGAAACAAATCAGGCAAATTTCAAGTTTGACAAGTTTGATGTCACTGGGAAAGCATTTGAGGAAACAAACAGCAGTTGGCATGTTTTTGATGTCAGACAAGTGACTCAAGTTTTTCATATTAAATACAGCCAGAAAGTCATTGTGTTCGAAACACACGAGAACTGTTACAAAAATGAACAGCAAATTTGCAGCTGATGTTCTTTATATATCTACTTTTGAGTTTTGGGAAATTTTTCAGAATCTTAGGCAAAGAAACCAAAAGAAAAATAATATGGTGTTACATGTTACCTATAACAACAATGCAATATGAAATGTTAAATTAAAATGTCAGCTTTTTAACAGTTAATTATGCGTTGGCTTTCTATTATGTACAGCACATTTCCTCATACTCTTATATAATCATGATCAGTTTCACTTTTACTCCCAAAGAAACTCCCATGTTAACCATGAAGAATGATTGGTTCAGATCTTCTATAAATAACCAAAACCTCCAGGTAATCTTTGTAGTTGCTGGAGTTCTTGTAAGGTATGGTTTTGCATGCATTACTTCTACACAACTTTTAGAAAATATGAATTTGGTTCTTTCTGAATTAAGCAAGAACTTTATTTGCATTGTTGTATTTGTTGAGATAGAATGAAAAGATAGAACAGACAATAATTTGTAAGTTATATGTAATCTCGAACACAATTCTTCTAGATGTTCTATGGAATAACTCTATGAAATCTATATTGGCACCACTTCAGTATTGTCTAATAGATTATGTTTTGTTTTCGCAGAATTGATTAAAACAATGGACATTATTAGCTTATACGATAAGTTTAATGAATTAATTAAATGGATGGTTGAATTAAAAATACCCATTTTTAATATATCTTTTCGTAAAGAAACATTAATTGACTGTTTAAAAAAGTTAAATTCTACATCTGATCCATTAGTATTTGAAAATGGTGAGATTATGCCTTATAACAATAGATATTTAACAAACCAAATAGTCTGTTACATTGTAGTTTGGTCATCGGATATTGACAAAGGTTGGAAAAGCAGAGGTTTAGGGTTTTATTATGGCTCTGGTTATGTAATGACTGCGAAACATGTTTTAGAAAATAACCAGTGTCACGAAAATGATAACATCTATATTTTGTTTCGAACTTCTGAAAACATATTAATATATAAAGCCCAAAAAATCTTCCCTGAAAATCCCAATTTGTTAAAAAACTATGATATTGCTTTTATTGGATTGCAAGGATGTTTAGATCCATTTGAAAACATAAAAGTAGAAATAGGCACGTTACCTGTAAATGATGAGCTACATTTTTATGTATTAGAATCAGGGTATTTAGTTCCAAAATATTGTAAAATTGAAACACCTAATACTAATATGAAAAATCAAATGTTACCTGAAGAATTTATTATTTCTAAAGCAGGCAGAGCAGGAGACAGTGGGACCCCTATTTTCTCAAGCTCTGGTACATGTGTTGGTTTATATACTGGTGTTTTCAAATCAAACAACCCATTAAAACCTTTAGAATATGGCAAAGCTTTGCAATTGGACATTATATTAAACGCATCTCATGACTTAGTGTTACCTTCTATCTCTTATAACCTCCATCATTAATCAACAACAAATAAATCACAAATGTAAATGAGTAAAATCTGGTCTGGACAGGTTCATTATTGTTAACTAAAACCATTTTTTATATATATATATATATATATTCTTTTAGAATGCTACTTATAAATAAAACTACTAATAACTAAAATCAGTTAAAATTAATGAATAAAACAAAAAGATATATTAAAAATGACAAATAAATTTGGAAAAGATTTGAATTCAAAATATTAACAAAACCTATAAAATGAATGACACTTATAGTTTTTGTTAATATTTTACTCCTCTATTCCTTATAAGGAAAAGCTTAATTGCATGGTTACAGTTTGTATATAGCAAAAATATTGTCCATTGTTTGGCAACTAACCGAAGAGAGATCTCGTCTTGCCCTCAACAAAATCTTGTAAGTCATTGATGAAAGCAACGTTAGGTCATACTTTAAGTATCAGAATCTCACATTCCTAATGTACTTTCCAGGTGACGTATGTTGGTCTGGAGCGAGTGGAATCCACATAAAGGTGGTGCAGGCATAATTTTGAAAGCTTTGGTAAGGAGAAAACAAAGATATATGAATTATTACTGAATGTTAGGGACAGAAATGTTTGGTATACAAGATTCAACTCGTTTTTCAGTTTAGTGTCAGTTAAGTTGAAATGACTTAAAACATCCAAGTTGATTGTACTTAATTTTAGACAGCAATCTTTTTTACATTGTGTAACCAATTGTTTTTTTTTCTTTTCAAACTTCAAATGTTATTGTTTATTTAGTGTGAATATCCAGATGAATACTTATTGTTGAGAGCTTTAGAATCTTTGCAAAGATGTATTTCTTTTTTATTTATGAGACAGAAATTTTTAAATAAATGTAAAGATCTGTTTAAAGATATCTTTCTCCCTCTCTCTTTCATGCTGAAAACATCTAGAATGACCTTCAGACTGCATACGTCTCTTCTGGGTCAAGTTATGATCAGACGACCTCTCTTCGCCAAATTAAAATCCCCTACCAATATAATTTAAGAAGCCAGGAGAGAGATTGTGTCTTGCCCAACACAACAGTAAGTACAATCAAATACTGCAGATTAAAAAAAAATAAAATTAAATGTTATTTATTTTACTTATTGCATGAAAGCATGCATGACAGCTTTTTCATAAAAAAATTATTTAAACTGCATATAGTAATTAAATGTTTTTTATTGAGTCAGTGTGTTGTCTTACAGTCATCAGAAACTTTGCAAAGATATATATATATATATATATATATATATATATATATGTTTGTAATTAATTTCAAATGAACAAAAACAAAAGCTCACCAAGGAGGAACTTGCACACATAGTAGAAAAAAACCCCTTCCTTTGAGGCTAATAAGTGTCGTTGATCATCGTCATAATAAGTGTCGTAACAGAAAAAACCTGATTCCATTTATCTAATGGAATATCTAATTTATCTAATTTATCCATTTATTTAAAAATATTTTTAGCGTATTTCATCCAAAAAAGTGAGCTCCTCTCTTTGTTGAACTTACATACCAAACTCATTTTTATCAATGAATTCAGTATTTGGTGTGGATGTCTTACATGTATTTGGCTGTTACAGAAACAAAATTTTAAAAACTATGATCTCAAGATATTCTCTCTCTCTCTCTCTCTCTTTAGGAAAATGACTCTGCACACTTCATCTCTCAGTGAAATAAAACCATCACTTTTGGGTCAAGCCACAACCTTATAATCTCTCCTTGAAAAATAATAATAAAAAAATGCTATTAATTTCTTTTTTTTTTTTTCCATTGAATAAATAAATGGTTGCATTTATTTGCAATGGAGCATTGCAATGTCTTTGTGCTCATTTTTTACTTCTGTATACAACGGGGCTAAAGGCACATGAATATAATATTTTTATTGAATATAATTTATAGAATATAATTTTTATTGAACATTTATTAAGCAACAGACTTTGTGTGAAAATAAATCATAAAAGTGGTTCATTTTGTTTAAAAATCTTATAAATGAATGAGGTGGCGAGGCGGGCCTTTTACTCCACATACAGGGTACAACCATGAGGCAAAAGACACATAGAAATACTTTAGCTAAATTAATGTTTTTAAAGTTAATACTTGTTCAAAACAATCACTTTAGCTAAGTTTGTACTATGTTCTGTTTATTTTGTTAAATAAAATAATACATTTTGTTCAATTAATATAGACAGAAACAAAATTATTATAAAGCAAAGATTCTGAAAGCATTGAAGGAGATCCCATAATAATTTAATATAGATTTACAGTAGAAACTATATATCATTAAAATATTTTTAAATATGATTGTTTCATTATAAATTTGGGTATTATCTCTAAGGTGGACACCTAACTCAATATATGGTATTTACCATCTGAATCTAGCATGTCATGTCAACAAATGGAAAAGTAAGCCTGCTTTATTATGTTAATTATTGTGCCTTTAGCCTCAAGCTTACGCTTTTTACCCCAAATACCTTTACATGTCCGTTATTGAAAAACTGCTACTTTACCTTGAACAAAAAAATAATAATAATAACAATTGAGACATTTGTCTCAAAATATACATATTCATTTTATTTATTCTCATTTGCTGCTTAAATCAAATATTAGATCAAATTAGCTCAGAATCAACTTTGTTGAATCAACAAGTTTTTGTGTCATCTAGAGGTTTAGAGACAAATCAAAGTCACTTTTTTTCCCCCGTGGCGCCTTTAGCCTCGGTGTACCCTACTCTCCATTTAACCGGCCTACATCTGTGAAATAGGTCAATTAACCCATTTAATCCCACCGGTCACAATTGTGACCGCAGCATTTTTTTCTTATTTCTGGAAGCTCTAAAAATGTTGTTATTGACTTTGGGCAAGAAATTCAACTTTTAAATGACAAAATAGACTGTCTTGATTAAAATCAATTAATGTCATGTGACTAGTGTGAAAGGTAGTGTTTACAGATAGAACTATCAAATTTTGTACATATATTCTTTAAAGGGTCTACTACTGATATATTTTGAGAATTATACTCCTGCATTTATATTTTGCTCGTAAGACTTGTAAATTTGTTTACGGTCACAATTGTGACTGGTAGTATAACAGTATAACAGTATATGCTTCAATTGAAAACACAGGTATTGGCAGATATTTGTGGGTATTGGCAATCCTACACTGAATATGCCACATCTGTGAGGAGGATGGATGATCTCGGCGAAGGAGAAGTGCTCACTAACACAGATTTAGACAGATTTGTGAACAATATTTGAGAGAAATAGGCCTTTTGTGTACATAGAAATGGTCTAGATCTTTGAGTTCAGCTCATGAAAAATGGGGGCAAAAACAAAAGTGTTGCGTTTATAATTTGAAAGGGCTCAAACAGTGGACTCTCGTCGGCTTCTCCATGGCTTCTCCCATCATCCACTCCATATTTCCTTGGTTACCTTTTTTCCTTTCTTTCCATTTAAATTTTTTGTTATGAAAAATGGTTGCTTTTGTTCATTTGTTGCTATGGTTATTGATTTATTAGTTCTCATTTGCATAATTGAGTTCATTTAAAGGTACAATATGTAAGAATTTTGTAATAAAATATCCAAAAATCACGTTCACAGTGTGATATATTTCCTGCAGTTGTGTACTTAAAATATTCCAAAAGTCTCCAAAGATTTTTTTTTCATTTAAGAGAAATTCCAAGAAATTAAAAATGTTGCCCGTCAATGCCACAATATCCGCGTGATCCTCGGTTTCCGCTCATACGGCCATATCCATGGCATAACCATGTCAACAGGCATGGACACCTGCGTAGTGCGTAACGTTTAGCGGCACACAGTTCATGGCAAGCAGACTTTGGGACAAACAAGGAGAACTAAAATGAGGATCAATATCAGCGTGGCATTTTTGAGATGCCGAGAGCTCCGCGTTTGTGACTAAATTGGGCTTGACAGAGCTTCACGAGTCACGGCTTGACAGCTTTATGAGACAGGTGAGTGAATCAATGTTTTATAACGTTAGCTCAACATGATGAAATGAAATCTCAGTATGTTATTCTTCTAATGTTGATCTAGCTTACTGCTAGTTTCGTATAGCAAACAAACTAACACGTAGTAAGATTATAACTTTCAACACACATTTAAATGCCATTTAGTGTGATAGTGTAACGTTAGACCAAGTAAAGCAGTGCTGCGTTACCTCACAAGTATAATTCGTCTAATAAACTGACCTGTGTGAGTAATCCAGCACTTGCGGCTAGTTTGATAGAACTAAAGGTCCTTATTCCTTTATATCCGCGGGACTCGCGTGTGATATCCGTCTATTTAGCAATCGCGACCTGCTTCATTCCACTGTAATTTTAAAAAACATGAATGTTTGCATTCATCCATAAACATTATTAGATCCATCAGCTTGACAGCAAGTCCCTTCATTCATCTCATTGCTTCATCAACCAACGACTTTGTTAACGTTGGAAACTGCGCCCTCTTGTTGCGAAAAAACAACAACAACAACATATTGTGCTTTTAAGCCCTTCAGTTTCTTCAGTTCATTGTATTGTTCTACATGCTGTTTCATTGATGTGTTTTATTAGAGTTTACTTAATGTAACAAAAGGACTTATAATTGACCTTCGTCTCTGCTCGTCATTATCGGATTGTAAACGTGACGCACAACAAAACTCAAAAGCCTGAATATTATCCAATTGTTTTTTTAATGTAATGACCAAATACATTTATGTATGCTTACCGATAGTCCTTGTATGGGCCTCGAGTAAGTGTGACGTACAACACAAAAGCGCTGCGCGGTTACACTATGTGAACTAACTCGAGGCCCACAGAGAAGGAAATTAATAGTTGAAAATTTGTTTTTATTTGTTTTTGTTTTTCGCGCACAAAAAGTATTCTCGTCGCTTGATAAACTTAAAATTGAGCCACTGTATTACACACTGAAAAGACAGTAGCATGAAGTAAACCTTCACTCACGCATCGGAAACTGTCGTTGGACCGATTGGGCAAGCCCTACAATAACAATGCTAAACAAAACTAGATTAAAAAGTTCGTCGAGACAAACTTTAAGTTGGCTTGTGAAAGTTTGGAACAGAAAGTTTGAAGAAGTTTAAAGTAGTTTGAAGTTTAAATTAGTCTAAAGTTTAAATTAAGTTTAACTTAGTTTAAAGATAGATAGATAGATAGATAGATAGATAGATAGATAGATAGATAGATAGATAGATAGATAGATAGATAGATAGATAGATAGATAGATAGAGATAGAGATAGATAGATAGATAGATAGATAGATAGATAGATAGATAGATAGATAGATAGATAGATAGATAGATAGATAGAGTTACTATTGTGGTTGCTATGGTGTTGCTAGGCAGTTGCTAGGCTGTTCTTGGTGGTTGCTAGGGTGTTGCTAGGCGGTTGCTAGGGTGTTCTGGGTGGTTGCTATGGTGTTGCTAGGCAGTTGCTAGGGTATTCTGGGTGGTTGCTATGGTGTTGCTATGTGGTTGCTATGTGGTTGCTAGGGTGTTCTGGGTGGTTGCTATGGTGTTGCTAGGCGGTTGCTAGGGTGTTCTGGGTGGTTGCTATGGTGTTGTTAGGCGGTTGCTAGGGTGTTCTGGGTGGTTGCTAGGGTGTTGCTAGGCAGTTTGCTAGGGTGTTTGGGTGGTTGCTAGGGTGTTGCTAGGCAGTTGCTAGGGTGTTTTGGGTGGTTGCTATGGTGTTGCTAGGTGGTTGTTAGGGTGTTCTTGGTGGTTGCTAGGGTGTTGCTAGGCGGTTGCTAGGGTGTTCTGGGTGGTTGCTATGGTGTTGCTAGGCGGTTGCTAGGGTGTTCTGAGAGGTTGCTATGGTGTTGCTAGGCGGTTGCTAGGGTGTTCTGGGTGGTTGCTAGGGTGTTGCTAGGCAGTTGCTAGGGTGTTCTGGGTGGTTGCTATGGTGTTGCTAGGCGGTTGCTAGGGTGTTCTGGGAGGTTGCTATGGTGTTGCTAGGCGGTTGCTAGGGTGTCCTGGGTGGTTGCTATGGTATTGCTACTTGGTTGGTAGTGTTCACATATGGTTAATATAAAGTATCCATATTAGCATTTAGCTATTCACAGCTAGCATGTTTTAACATATTGAAAGTCCTGTGTGCTAGCATGAGTCAAAAGACCCAACCCCCATCGCGATACAATTTTCTGATTTTGAGATATAGCTGTTAAAAAATGGTTGCTAGGGTACTCTGTTTGGTTGCTAGGGATTGGCTTGACAGCTGCCAATCATGAAACTCCAAAGGCAGCTTGTCAGTATGAATGATTTAAACCGATCCCCATCTCTATATGTTGTTCTGATGCAGAGATATAAATCTTGCTTAATGGTTGCTAGGGTACTCTGTTTAGTTGCTAGGGAGTGGCTTGTCAGCTGCCAGTGATGAATCTCCAAATGCTGCTTGTCACTATGAATGATATAAATCAACTCTCATGACTCTGTGACATTCAGAATGGAAGATATCCCTCTTTAAATTTGGTTGCTAAGGTGCTCTTAATTGTTGCTAGGACGTGGCCAGAAATTGTTGAGGTGATTCATGGTTGGCTGTTTGCTACCCGGAGTCAAATGAGACCACCCTCATGTTTCTATGACACTTCTATCCGGAGATATCCCTTCAATCTCTTTCAATGGAAGTCTATGGGACTTGTTGCTAAGGTGCTCTAAATGGTTGCTAGGGCGTGGCTTGATAGCTTCACAATGATCCTGAGAGACTGATTGGTCGTCTGAGTAAAATGAAGCCCGCCCCCTTGTCTCTATGACACTGTGATCCAGAGCTATGTTCAATATAAAACCCTAATGCAATGTGTAGGACGACCCATTTCATGTAAGTCAATGGGGCAATTTTGGGCAGCTCCTGCCCCCAGGGGTGCAACTATTCCCCCACTGTGAGGTATTCTTTACAGAGCCTGTCAGCTTCTTCAAATGTGGTACATTACAAGTTTCTGAGAAATCAGCAATATTTAGTATTGCACGAGGCCTGCGGCCTCGTGCCTATGGCCTACGGTTGCTAGGTGCTGTAACTGGTTGCTATGGTGCGAATTTAGAGTTTATGGGTTTAGAGTTTATAAGTTTAAATGACTAAGTGTCCAGAGTTTATTAATTTATGAGTTTAATAGTTTTATGAGAGTTTAAAAGAGTATGAGTTTATGAATTTAGAGTTTATGAGTTTAGAGTTTATAAGTTTAAATGAGTCTTAGAGAGTTTAAGTTTAGAGTTTTATTAATTTATTGTGAGTTTTAAGAGTTTAAGATTAGATAGATAAGTGTCATAGATTGATGAGTTCATTAGTTTGAATGAGTTTCAATGGCTCATATAGTGTATAGAATGGCAGTTTGATTTGAGTCTGGGGCTTCAAGGTATTTAGATTTGAAATTTTGACAGTTGGGCAGTTTGAATTTCTCAATGGGAGTCAATGGGAGTTTTTTCCGACTTTGATCGTCATTTTTAGGAAAACCGTAAGTCCGATCAGTTAGAAAAGATATAGCAACGCGAGTCAGAACAGTTTGAGTGTCCATGCGAGTTTGGAGTATCGTGGAGTTAAAGCTCTAGGAGGAGTTAGAGTTGGAAATTTTAGTCTCAGAAAAAGAATAATAATAATAATACTAGATTAAAAAGTTCGTCGAGACAAA